ATATTGGTCATTTACACCTTGGTGTAAAGTGCATCAACTATTTTACAGCTTATGTAGTACTTTTAAATATATTTTCTAATTTAATTTTCAAAATAGATTTGTCTGGCATAATTAGCCTTGCTTACAAATGAGTTATCTTCTCAGTGGAGTTCCATAATTGTATTGCATGATGTTTAGCTGAACTTTTATAGGTAGAGCCAAGAAATGACCCCCAGACCCTAGTCTTTGGATTCCAAACTGAGTTGCCAAATTTTCCGCATCATTTTTATGTATTTATTTATTATTAAAAAATATGTTTTTCACCTTGGGAAAGCTCAAGTATTTCTGCATCATTTAGCTGGAGAAAGGAGACCCAGGTATCAATGTTGCAAATTAAGCTATGTCGATTTGCTTTGCATAACTATTAAACACTTTGGGGGCAAATAATGGCAGTTTTAGATGCAACCTTCCTACCAGGTTATTTTTAAAAGCAGATCTTGACCAAATTCTGGCACTCAGACAGGCACTTATTAAATACGTATTTGCAAAAAAAAAATAAAGAAGTCTCGCTAAGCTTAGATGCTCAAACCCCACCTTGCACAGATGTGTTAATTTTACAAAGACAGATTCCATTCAGAGGATGTTAAATGAAGTCCCCCAAGTTCTTAGATCCCAAACAGGGTATGTGAACCAAAGGGCTTGCTCTGTTTGCATATCTTTTTTTTTTTTCTGTATGTATATCTTACTTGGGGGAGGGGAGGTGAGAACTATCTCTAATCCACAAATTTGAAAACCACTAATTACTCAGATTTCTAACATTCATTATACTCATTGACAAGCCACTGATTTCACTAATGGAAACCCATTTCTCACCTTAATTATGCCAATTAGCAAAGCTTCTGGGGTCCAGTGGGAGACAAAGGGAGCTGAGGGACTGGAGGAAGCCACCTGTGGAGTGGGGGCTTCTGATTAGATTTTACTTGGCTCCTAGAGGATGTATTTCTGATTAGCATGATGGTCTGCCCTTGGAATGTAATTTAAGCTAATTTCAGAGACACGCAGCTACATTATGTTGGCTCTGCCCAAGCATTTTAAAGTTAACTGGAGACACCCTGACCGCTGCTAGTCATTCTGGGAAGCCCACTGAGGGCAAGTTTATGTGGTGTGAGGACTCACCTCTGAGGTTTAGGTGGGCCAGTCATCAAAAGATCTCCCGCAGACCTGTTAGCACCCTAGTTTTTCTCTGACCTTTGAAAACCCAGTTTGATGGTTCTTTCATAGCTTCCTGTTTTTTTTGCACTGGGGCCTAGTTTATTTCAGAAAGAACTTTCCCATTGATTTAATGAATATGCATCTTATCTGAACCTGAAATCAGGTTTACCTTATCTGAAGTATGGAGAAAATTCTGCTCCTTCTTATCTTCAAAGGGAGCAGTTAGCATTTATTCATTTAACCAAGACATCATTTAAGGATCCCAAGCCCTGACTCTTGCCAAATTGGACAGGTGGGATTTCCAGCCCATTTCCATTCACCTGGCCTAGTTACCAATGGCTTTGATCACATCAGGCCATCATGCATGAGGGTCAATTCTTACTGCTGACAGTAGATCACAGAAATTTATCCTTTTGTTATAATTGTTGTCCAAATTTACAAAAGCTTGGGACTTCAGTCCGATTCATAATAGTGAATCAGTAATGTAAAGTTGTTTATCTCTTTAAGTCAGTGTTTTTCAACCTTTTTTATTTCATGGCACACTCGAACCTATAGTTAAACTTCCACCGTACACTTAAATTATGTTGATTAAAAAAAAAAAGTAAAAATAAAGAATATACTTACTGTGCTTTGAACATCTTTCAGAAATTGGTTAATTCATGATTTTTAAAAATTTCTGCAGCACACCTCAGATTCTGCCATGGCACACTGGTTGAAAATCACTGCTTTAAGTATTTCTGCCCAGATTAGGGTTCAGAGCTGCTGCTCTCTGAAGTAGATAAAATTGAGTGTCAGAAAGAATTTTCTGAATTTATGGAAAAAGGGGGCTGTGCCTTCTGTAACTCACAGAAGGGAGGGTCTCTTTCCTGTTTACACCTTCCAATGTCTACTTTCAAAAAAATGTATTTAAGGGATCACCCCCAAATTACACTGGCACCCCAAAACTTTGACTCTTAACAAGTAACTAGCATTTTTTAAAAATCTCACTTGGGCACATCACAGAAGATATAGCTACTTATTATCATTTTGGACTTCAAAGATAAAGGCAGTTTTTTTTTTGGATACTGCAGAAGTATATTGTCAGATGCTCCTCGAATTTTCCAAATTTTGTGTCCGAACAGTTTTGTCTGCTGTTTAAAAAGTATGCCTTGGAAGGAGGTGATTTAACTTTGAGTTCTAAAAAGAAAAATGCTGCAGGACATCTGTTCCCAGGTCACTAAACACATAAGTGTGAAAAGGTCTGGGGAAAGGGACGTTGCTGGTGTGAGAAGTCAGGGGGTGTTCTTGGGAAATGCTTGGAGATAAGCCCGGTCATTCCTATCTCTGCGATTAGCGAAGAGGCACAGAGACAGATGAGTTCTTCACTTCGCCTGACTAAGTAAACTCTAAAATAGACTCAGGCTCCCTGGGAAGCACAGGGGATCCAATTTTTGTTAAAGAAAGGGTATTGTCTCTGGGAACTTATCCCTGCTGCTGATTTCATTATGGCCCTGCAGAATAAGTTTCCTGTGTGTTTAATGAATGACTAATGGATAAACAAACTATAGAATTACAGTAGTTTTAGCTTCCTTTAATTTTGCATTGCCCTCTTTTCCTCTCTTCTCAACTATTCTAAAGTTCGGTGGTGCAATGATTTTGAACCATATTTCAGTACCGGTGCTTCTTACTATTTCCAACTCCCCCCCCCCCAAAGCCAGTAAGAGATAGAAAGAAAGCTCTGCTATTCCCGTGAGGAATATTAGCAGAAAAGTATTGGCCAGATGAAGCTGGGGGTGGAGGTGCTGTGGTAATCCAGTTCTCAGCACAGCAGTGCTGTGTATCTCTCTTTGTTTTTTTATTCTAGTAATAATATTCCATGGAGGGGGCTCAGTTTGGCCTAGGTTTACTTGAAATTGAATGACAGCCAATAAGTTTCAGACATTCACATTTTCTATAATTCTTAATGAGTTATGAATAGAAATTACTGACAATTGCTGCCCCCATATCCCCCCAAAAGTTTAGATAATGGTTTTAAAAGGGCTGCAAAAACTATTGTTGACATGCCTCATTAGTTCCTTCTTAAGATAAAAGAACTACAAGTTAATAATGGTCAAAAAATAAAAATAAAGACATTAGCAATTATAAATATTATTTTAAGAATCAGACTTTGACAAAGACCAGACCTAGACTAGAAGAACACTGGAGACCAGAAGGTGTTGACAAAAAGGGAACACTCCTTATTCTTGCCCATTACTAGAGAAGGAAGAAATATGTATTACTTGATCGAGTTAAGTTCAAAGGAATACTCCTTTTTCTTGCCTGTTACTAGAGAAGAAAGAAGTATATATTGTGGAAAACCAAGATTGAAGAAAATCCCCTAGTTCATGGATAGTCTTGAGGGTTTTCCACCATTCTGATAGCAGTGTAGAGCACACTGGATGAACACCCATGTTTTCCTGGGTCTCAAGAACAAATCCATGATCATCTATTTTGCTTTGTAAGGATCTCGGAGTTAATCCCCCGAGATGATCTTAAGATGGTGTTTTAACATTATAGTCTATGTCAGTGTTTCAGACCTTTTCTACTTCACAGCACCCTCCAGCCTATAATTATATGTTCATGGCACACTTAAATTATGTTGATGAAAGTAAAAAAAAGAATATACTTACTGTGCTTTGAACTTCTCTCAAAATAATTTAATTAATGATATTTAACATTTTTCACGGCATACTTAAGGTCCCCTCATGGCATACCGGTTCTAAGTCTGCAAAATTGTTGAAAACTTAAATCAATGAAAAGTGTACCATCTTCCAAGGATGGCATCCTACCTACTGTGTCAGTAACACCAGATGCGTGATAAACCTGAGATAGGGAAACAGAGCTGAACGAAGTGTCAGTGAAATCTGTGAACAGAACTCAAATCAAGTTCCCAATTTACTGCCAGAGTTCTCTGGGGTAAACCAGAGTTGTTTGATATGGAAAAAAAAATCATCCTGGAATTAGAAAATTAATGCACTAATGTTAAATAATAAAATTACATGGGCTAGATAACTAGAGAGAAAATATGATGCATTTAAAAGTATTAGGAAGATACGGTTTTCTTATTAACCATAAATTGGCGATAATGCATATAAAGCATTTTAGAAACTGGAGGTGAGGTGCTGCTGGCCACTGGTTTTCAAAGCAACACTCCTTGACTGAGGAGTATTGTTCTGAGGCTGTCCCAGTCCCAGAGAACAGATATGCAGGCTGTGTCTTTGGTCGTGGTGTTCATAATACACATGGTCAGTTACAGCCATGGCAGTGAGCACTGCGTCCTATGAGAGGCCATCGGAGGGATCTCCTGTTTTCTCGTATTTTATTTTAGAAAGATTTTCCCAAGAGTTTCTTGTCTCTAGAATAACTGCATTCCATCAGACAGAGAATCGTATGTTTTTAAGAAGATTTGTTCCTGCCAAAGGACCTTCTTTGTATAGTTGGGGACACACAAATAGTCCTGTTACAGAGCCTGCAGCAGTTGGCTATGAATTATTTTTGAAGACTCTGATAGCCATCTAATCTCTTCTACATTAGAAGGTAAAATTTAAAAATGGAACTAGCATGTGTTGAACACCCAGTAAAGAAAATGGAATCTGTAAACTGGAGAGGGTTGGGCACTCCTTACTGCAATAAAATGAACATGTAAAGGATTAGAAGGGAAGTCTCTACTGAAAGAAGTTGTCCAGCGTGGCTTCAGTTTCCCTTCCTGCTCGTTACTAGTGAGTTTCTCACATTCACATCTATAAGAGAGGTAGCACTTAACTCTGACTTCTGTTTTCTCTTTATTCCAGAAGCCTCCCCAGCTTTCTGAGGATGATACCCGGCTAAAAAACGAGAGAGACAACTGTCGTGCCAACCTCCTGGAGCCTGCTCCCAGCTCTTTCCCTCCAGATCACAAAAACATGGAAATTGAGGTGTCCGTTGCAGAATGTAAAAGTGTTCCTGGAATCACCTCCAGCCCGCATTCTGTGGACCACTCCTCCCCTTTCTATTCAGCCCCCCATAATGGCCTCCTCACTGATCATCACGAGTCCCTGGATAACGATGTGGCCAGAGAGATCCGATATCTAGACGAGGTGCTGGAGGCCAACTGCTGCGATTCTGCTGTGGATGGAACTTACAACGGAACATCCTCCCCGGAGCCTGGCGCAGCCATCCCAGTGGGCTGCCTAAGCCCCCCTGCCCACACGGCCCTCCAGCCGGAGCCTGCCGAGGCAGTGGCTGGCAGGCAGGCACCTTGTCACGCTGAGCTCCCTCAAAGCAACTCAGATCCCATGGCAGACAGGGAAAGAGCAAACGGCCATGCCCCTGGCCAGCTCAGAGACACGCTGGGGGATGGCCTGCAGGCACCCGCAAGCCCCAGCTCCTCAGCCAGCTCACGCTGTCCTTCCCGAGACGGCGAGTTCACACTCACCACACTGAAGAAGGAGGCCAAGTTCGAGCTGCGCGCCTTCCATGAGGACAAGAAGCCCTCGAAGCTCTTTGAAGATGATGAGTGTGAGAAAGAACAATACTGTGTCCGAAAGGTAAGGCCTTCAGAAGAGATGCTGGAGCTGGAGAAGGAGAGGAGAGAGCTCATCCGCAGCCAGGCAGTGAAGAAGAACCCCGGCATTGCGGCCAAATGGTGGAATCCCCCTCAGGAGAAAACCATCGAGGAGCAGCTGGACGAGGAACATCTGGAGTCACACAAAAAGTACAAGGAGCGTAAGGAGCGCAGGGCACAGCAGGAGCAGCTGCTGTTGCAGCAACAATTACAGCAGCAGCAGCAGCAGCAGCAACGGCCCCCACCGCAGCCCTGCCCAGCCCCTGCATCCTCCTGTGGTCCAAACACGACTGACAAAGCAAAGGAAGACATCGTCACAGAGCAGATCGATTTCTCCACTGCTCGCAAGCAATTCCAACAGATGGAGAATTCCAGGCAAGCAACAGCCAAGGGCCAGAGCACACCTAGGCTGTTCTCCATTAAGCCTTTCTATAGGCCCCTGGGGTCAATTAACTCTGACAAGTCACTGACTATCACAAGACCAGCTTCTGTTGGGGGACCTCCAGAAGACAGTGGCGCCTCCACAGCCAAGGGGCAGAAAGCCTCCTGTGCCCTGGAGAGCCAGTCCGGGGGAGGAGGCCAGGGCAGCACAGCCCCTCAGGGGAAGGAAGGGCCCTACAGTGAGCCATCTAAGCGGGGGCCCTTATCTAAACTGTGGGCAGAGGACGGAGAGTTCACGAGCGCCCGGGCGGTCCTCACCGTGGTCAAGGATGACGACCATGGGATTTTGGATCAGTTTTCAAGATCAGTCAATGTCTCCCTGACCCAAGAGGAGCTCGACTCTGGTTTGGATGAATTGTCAGTGAGGTCCCAGGACACCACGGTCCTGGAGACTCTGTCCAATGATTTCAGCATGGATAACATCAGTGACAGTGGGGCCTCCAATGAGACAGCCAACGCCCTCCAGGAAAATTCACTAGCTGACTTTTCTCTACCCCAGACTCCACAAACTGACAACCCCTCAGAGGGCCGAGGAGAAGGTGTCTCCAAGTCATTCAGTGACCATGGTTTCTATTCCCCTTCGTCCACGCTGGGAGACTCTCTGTCGGTCGATGACCCTTTGGAGTATCAGGCTGGTCTCCTGGTGCAGAATGCCATTCAACAAGCCATAGCCGAGCAGGTGGATAAGGCCGTGCCCAAATCCAGCAAGGATGGAGGAGAACAGCAGGGCCCCGAGGCAACTGTGGAGGAAGCTGAAATTGGGGCTTCCAGCTCTGAGAAGCCTCAGAACATGTTTGAGCCACCCCAGGTGTCCTCTCCCGTTCAAGAGAAAAGGGACGTAATACCAAAGATTCTGCCTGCTGAAGACAGGGCGCTCAGGGAAAGGGGGCCTTCTCAGCCGCTGCCCACTGTGCAGCCCAGTGGCCCAATCAACATGGAGGAAACCAGGCCTGAAGGGGGCTATTTCAGCAAGTATTCGGAGGCAGCCGAGCTGAGAAGCACAGCCTCCCTCCTGGCCACTCAAGAATCCGATGTGATGGTTGGGCCCTTCAAACTGAGGTCAAGGAAGCAGCGGACTTTGTCCATGATTGAAGAAGAGATCCGGGCAGCTCAGGAAAGGGAAGAAGAACTGAAGAGGCAGAGGCAAGTCCTGCAGAGCACCCCGAGCCCCAGGACCAAGAACGCCCCCTCGCTGCCTTCCAGGGCACCGTGCTACAAAACCACCCCAGGTAAGGTGCCGAGGCCCGAGGCAGATGCCATGGAATCTGCCGCTGGGGAGTCCAGCTCATGGGTTTCTGTGTGGAGCCTCCTTATGTGTGTCTGAGATAAGTGTGTATGCGGGGGGCTCCGACACAAGGATTTCAGTGTTTGAGGACATGAAACAGCAGTGTCAGAGTGTCCCCTGAAGGAACCCTGAGGCCAGATGGAGTTTGCCATTTCCCCGTGGATGCGATAGCCTTGGTCTTAGTTTGTGACAGAGAATTGTTGTTTTTTATTTGGAGGCTTGCCTCTTGGCTGAGGGAGGGACTATTGGTGGCACAGGACCAGTCAGAATCGGGCCTATGTGGGCCGTGTCTGAGTTGCAGTGTGACCATCGGTATCTGTGGTTCAATCCAATCCAACCCATCCGATTTGGGGGACGTGCTCTTCCAACCCTTTCTGAATGCTGGGTCCCTTCCCAGCGATGATGGTCCTGGCTCGGCATTACAGATTGATCCATGGAAGATGCCCTCGTTCATCTTCTGTGTGATTGGATTTGTCTTCCTTTAAGTCACCTCAAAGCAATTACTTTGTTTCAAGGGTGGTCTCATCCATTGTCACATGACCCACGTAGAGACATTGAATTGCTACAAGCAAAGGCGGGTCTTTCATTCCTTGACTTTTCCTGGGCAGTAGCTTTCTTGAATGCTTTGTATAGATTGAATGCACGTTAATTAGAGTGGTGATTATTGTTCCTTCCTGCCACTGTTGGATAACAGTGTGACCAGTAGTTTTTATTTCCAATGTGGATGTGACAGCAACCAGGGCTCTACCCATCTTAACCCTAGAGAAGTGCTGCTGAAAGTGTGGTCCAAGCTAGTCCAGGAACTGTTACTGGTCCATTTTGAGAGAAGTTCAGACTTTGAGAGAAAGCATTTGAAAACTCTTACAGCAATTTGTTATTGTTCTGAAATCCAAGTATGGAATTTTGTATTTTACAGAAGTATTGGTCCACAGTGGACTTTGGGGAGGAGGAAGGGACTAATCTTTCACCAGAGATATTATTCTTATGTGTTAATATGAGGGTGTATATGATTAGCTTACATTATTTGAGTTTGTAAGGTAAAGTTGAAAGTCTGAGTTGTAGTTGACTCCTTCACCCAGTGTACCATATACCCCTATATTGTACCAGATATAGGTAGGCACTAATGGAGCCCCCTCCCCTTTGCCCCACGTCTTGAGTTTAATTGTGTTTTTGTGTGGATCTGTAGTTGTTGGTCTGCTATTTTCAGATTAGTACTGAGTACATGGATGGGCTGCTTGCTTTTCCATTCTTGAGATACTTTCACCAGAGATAATTTAAGGAATCATTGTCTTAAAGTAGTAATTGTTGGCATTTTACTTGGACAGATCCTAATCTTTTCTTTCTTTCTTTTTTTTTTTTGAGACAGAGTCTCACTTTGTAGCCCTCAGTAGAGTGCTATGGCGTCATAGCTCACAGCAACCTCAAATTCTTGGGCTGAAATGATCCTCTTGCCTCAGCCTCCCACGTAGCTGAGACTACAGGCACCCACCACAACACCTGGCTATTTTTAAAGATGAGGTCTCACTCTGACTCAGGCTGGTCTGGAACCTGTGAGCTTAGGCAATCCACCCGCTTCGGCCTCCCTGAGTGCTGGGATTACAGACGTTAGCCACTGAGCTCAGCCAACAGATCCTGCTCTTATCTTGACACTTGGCTTCCATGTCTGCCACAAGGTCACTCTTCTCATTATTCGTTTTTACATTTTGAAAGACTCCAAGCCTAAACTAAAAGTTTCCAAGTACATACAAGTTTCCAAGTATGTTTTTTTAAAACCATGCCTTGTCACCCCCAATTTTGTAGACCACCCCTCATTTGGGTCTGCCTGATCCTTTCACATGCTTATATTCAGATCGCTCATCCTTGGAAGGACTGCCACAGAGCTGATGCTGTGTTCTCATGGTGTCCAAAAGTTTGTCCTGTTATAGGGATGGGTATTAACTGATACTATTTTTTTTTGTCAGAGACAGAGTCACACTCTGTTGCCCTGGGTAGAGTGCTGTGATGTCATAGCTCACAACAACCTCAAACTCTTGGGCTCAAGCAATCTTCCTGCCTCACCCTCTTGAGTAGCTTGGACTACAGACTCCCACCACAATGCCTGGCTTATTTTTTCTAATTTTAGTAGAGACAAGGTCTTGCTCTTGCTCAGGCTGGTCTCAAACTCCTGAGCTCAAGCAATCCACCTGCCTCAGTCTCCCAGGGTACTAGGATTACAGGTGTGAGCCACTGCTCCTGGCCTGTACCTTCCTTCTTGACAATAAGATGCTTAGGTCTTACTATCTCAATGTATTTATTATTTAATTAACCCTCACTTATGTAACCAATCTTCTGTTTTCCTTACCAAATTTTGGGTCCAGCATAGTTTTCTGGGTGCTCATTGCAACCTCCTCCAACATCCTCCCACCCTGCTTGAACTCCAGTCACTGCTGTTCCCTGCCCACCCTGCTGTGACTCCAGCACACCCTGCTTGGCCACCAAGGCTTCTCCCAGCCCCACCATAAGCACCACCTCATGACTTTTGGACTAAATTGTTCATGAAGGAAAGGAAGGGGAAGAAGTACGATGACTTTCTAAATAAGGTTTTAATTCCTTCAGGTCATAGAACGTGGAACCAGCGGAGTGCTCGAGGCAGAGGAAAATTTTAGGGAAAGGATTTTGTCCATGCTTACTAGTGGCCAGTTGGCTTTTCCCAAAGATCCTGAGTTGTCAGGGTCACTTTAAATTCTTTACTGTAGGCTGGCCTGGCACAGAGGTCCCAGGTGAGTATCCAATCCTGGAGAAGTCTTTGTGCCCCTTGATTTTGGCCCATGCTGGGAGCTCATATCACATGTGAGTGATGCTAAAGGGCTCAGATAAGGGCCTGCTGTCTCACGGGTGAGGGAGGGTTCTACAGGCATCTCAGGCCCTCTGCTCACATGGACAGCAAATACTAGGAGTCTCTATTCCTCTCACTTATCTGGCCCTCCCCTCACATTATTTCATTCCCTAAAGTACATTTGCTCAATGGGTATTTTAGTCTATTTAGGCTGCTGTATCAAAATAGCCTATGTACAACAGAAACTTATTTCTCACAGTTCTAAAGGCTGGTAGGTTCAAGATCGAGGTGCCAACAGATTCCACAGATGAGGACCTGTACCTAGTTTGTAGATGGCCCCTTCTCACAGTGTCCTGATGTGGTGAAAAGGAAGAAGGCCGCTCTCTATGGCCTCTTTGATAAGGGCACTGATCGCATTTAGCCCTCATGATCGAATCACCTTCCAAAGGCTCCTCACCTCCTTATGTCATCACATTGATGATTAAGGTTCAGCATGTAAATGGGGGTGGGGCACAAACATTCAGACTGTAGTAGGGGTATTTTCAGTCTTCCTTGCTCTGTCTCAATTGAAGCCCTCACCATATTGCCCCCAACTTTATTTCTAGCATGTGAACAATTGTCAAATATAAAGACATTTTAACACTTTCTCCCAGATCTCCTGTTTGCTGTTCAGGCTTCCACAGGATTGAGATTGCCGTAAAACAAGTCAAGATCCTACTGCTTGCCTGTGGCCTCCTGGCAGCCTAGCACATCCCTCCACACTAATGCTCAGCTTCTCTCCCATCCCTCAGCCCCATAGGGTTGACTTCTGCCCCTTTGGGGAGATGGCAGTTCATCCACACAAGTCTACACTCTGCTGTGCTCTTGTCATATTGCATAGTCACAATAATGACATGCACCCCATTCCTTCACGTTTATCTCTAGAATGTTTAAAGTAGATGCCCAGGCGTCTCAGAATCACATCACAGATTGAAAGCAACTGATGCAAAATGCTGCTTTCTCTGTATTCGTGCCTGGAAACCTTTGGCGTATTGCTTGACCAGCTGGCCCCCAGATTCCTGATCGGGAAAAAGACTGACACATTACTCTGAGCGGCCAAACTGGACAATCACGTCCAGGGTCAGAACTGCCAGCTCCAGTGTTGGTGTTGTGAATGGAGATATTACTAAACTCCTACTGTACTACTTTTCATTTCATGCCAGAAAAAGTGATTCAGCTGGTTTGTCATGGGACTCAGCTCGATGATTTGATATTAGGTGATGAAAAATATAACTTTCATCTTCTCTGGTAGAAATCATGCTGGTGACATGCTGGAACCCTAAAATCTTAAGGCAAGTAAAATCTACTAAGAGCCAATATATGGTAAAGAAGGAGAAATCTAGTAAGTCCTTCCGTTGAATGTTTATCTAGTCATAAACCCTGTCTCCTAGGCATTTAAAAGATACTTGTTTTGGTGTTTGTTTCATTGCATTAAAAGATGGAGAATGAATGATAATGGTTCTATTTGGTAAAGGTCATAGTCATTTTCAAAGACTAAGTATCTGAGATTGTGTCAGTGAGAAGGAAGGGCAACTACAGGGGCTCAAAAGGGGTAGAAAATTTGACATATTTGCAGTGTTTAAACAGGTTAAGAGAATGAAGAACCAGTTGCAATGGCTCACTCCTAAAATGCCAGCACTTTGGGAGGCCAAGGTAGAAGGATCATTTGCAGCCAGGAGTTCCAGACTAATCAGGGAAACAGAACGAGACCCTTTTTCAACAAAATTTTTCTTAAAAAATTAGCTGGTCATGGTGGTGCACACTTGTAGTCCCGTTACTTGGGAGGCTGAGGCAGGAGCATTACTTGAGCCCAGGAATTTGAGGCTACCATGAGCTATGATGATGCAATTGCAGTTCATCCTGGGTGACAGAGGGAGACGTCTGCCTCTCATGGAAAAAAAAGAAAAAAAAAAAGGAAGGGCGGCACCTGTGGCTCAAAGGAGTAGGGCACCAGCCCCCGTATACCAGAAGTGGCAGGTTCAAACCTGGCCCCGGGCCAAAAACTGCAAAAAAAAAAAAAAAAATTGATTTAGAGTCAGACAAAAAGCATCTGTATCATGTATCAGTCATGTCAAGGGTTTTAACCTTTA